CCAAATCATGCCTTCATCTGCTGGGGCTTTGTTCCCCCAGTTGAGGAGGAACCCTACAGGAGCTGAACTGCCTGTGGGTCCCCTGACCTGCGGGGGGGGGCCCTGGCAAAGTCTGCCGTTGCACCTCAAGAAAAAAGCAAAGGGTACGGGCAGCCCTTTGGATAATTTTGGGGGTTCGGCTCTCCCTCACTCGCCTTCTGATCCCCTCCGACCCAAGTTCGGTGCCCGCTCCTCTCTACAGCCCTGCAACATGCCAACTGGATTTATCGCCCAACACGAGCCTCTGGAAAGCAATGTGGACTGCACGGTGGGGGAGAAACTGAGGGCTGCTTTTTTTCCCCCAACACCTCAATAAACTCTCATTTCACTGAGCGCTCCATTACATCATGGATGCCACAGCGTGAGCTGCTGAATGGGGTGGCGGGCCTTTTACAACAAGTCCTAGATGTTAAAGACGGCACTAGTTGACCTCCCTGAAAAATGACATTAAAATACATATTAATCACTGAACGCTGCCTCAGCCTTTGTCACCCTGCCCCAAACGGCTCGCCTCGCGGGACCCCCTGGGATTATCCTTCCATTTGCGGGGCTGGGTGGGGCAGGGAACATCACAACGCTCGCTCAGCCTCACAAAAAGGGGATATGAGCAACCTCGGTCCCCGAGAACCCCAAAGGAGAGACATTTTGGTGACACAGGTAGCGCAAGCATTGCTCACCATTTCCCTCTCATCTCTCATTAGGATAAATAAAGAGACGTTAATCACCGGACCTAGGGATCCACTCGCTTAGGGACCGGAAGGCTCAGCCCTGGGATGCTCAAAAGCAGCACATGGCACCCACCATGTTGCTGCTAATTGTGGGGGTCATTCCCAGTGGAGCCAGGGAGCCCCATGCTGGGAGACCGGGGACCCCCTCCTGTCCCTGTCCCCTGCCTCGGGGCAGTTTGGGGAAGCCTTGCCCCCCAATGGGACTCAATTATTATTTAACTTAAAAGAACAATACATCTATGAGGCTGCAGGGACATCCCAGCGGGTCCAAGGACTCAGATTTCATTCCTCAACAGGAGTCACAGTCAGACTGGCCAGGCTAAAGGGGATCATGACATAGGCTTACACTTTGTCAGGATGCTTTGCATTCTGCCCCACACTGTCATGACAGCACAAGTCAGCCAAAACTTGTGGGGATGGGAGGTGACATAGTTC